TAATAGGTCCGGATGCAGACTCCATTCAGTGTGATCCACAGTCGACTTGCTTAGGAAGTCTGCTTGTCTGTTTGCCTCCCCGGAAATATGCTCGGCCCTAATGGAGGCGAGGTCTTCCTCCGCCCAGTCCCCCAGTGCTTGGGCCTCTGTCATGAGAGACCTGGATTGGGTGCCCCCCTGACTGTTCACATGTGCCTTTGCGGACACATTGTCTGTGAGGACTAGTATGTGTTGTCCCGCTACCCTGTTTTGTAATTGTCAGAGAGCTGGGTATATGGCCCTTAACTCCAACCAGTTGGTGTTGTTCCAGGACCTCCCAGGACCATTGGCCCTGCACCTACATGGACTGCAGATGCGCCCCCCAACCAAACAGGCTGGCGCCCATCGTAAATGTGAGATGGTCGGGTTCCTTGAAGTGTGACCCTCTGACTAGTGCTGGCAATGACCACCACTTGAAGGACTGTAATGTTTCTGGAGGGACCCTTACTCGTCTGTTGGAGGAACTGAGTTTCAGCCTCTGGAATGGAAGGAGGAACCATTGAAGGTTCCTGGAATGTAGTCTCGCCCAGGGCACTATTGCTATGCATGATACCATCTTCCCCAGCAGTTGAGAGAGTACGACCAGGGGAACTGTTCGTTCCCTGCGTACCCTAAGGACTAGGGAATGTATGGCTGTCGCGACGTTCCTGTGACAGATAGACCTGCCCCCTAAGCGTGTCTATGATTGCACCTAAGTGTAATAGGCAGGTGGCTGGTCTGGTCTGACTCTTTTGAACGTTGACTGAGAACCCATGCTCCTGTAGGATTCTGATTGTCAATGCTAGGTCCGATTGCGCGACCTGTGGGGACGATGATTGGATGAGAATGTCGTCCAGGTGGCACTAGACGCGACCGGTATCATTCGTAGGGGCGCAGCCAGTACTGCCAGGATCTTGGTGAAGACTCGTGGGGCTCATGAGAGGCCAAATGGCAGTGCCCTGAAGTGGAAGTGGTGTCCCGTGTAGCAGAACCTGAGGAACCGTCGGTGACTGTGGGTGATGGGGATGTGAAGGTATGCTTCCGTGAGATCTATGGATGACAGGAAGTCACCATGTCATATGCTGCCCAAGATGGAGTGAAGGGTTTGCATTTTGAACTTTCGATGGGCGATATGATGGTTCAGACCTTTGAGGTTTAGGATTGCCCTCCATCCCCCCAAAAAACTTGGGAACCATGAATAGGATGGAGTAGAAATCCCATCCCTGGTTCCCCACTAGTATCTGCTCTATGACTTTTATTTCTAGGAGGTGTCGAATGGCCTCTTGCATGAGGTTGCTTTTGGTGGGGTTCCTTGGCTTGGGGCAAGGGACAAAGCGTTCTGGACGGTTGGATATGAACTCCAGGAACAAACCAAGGCGTATGGTTTGCCAGACCCAGGCATCCGTAGTGGTGGCTTCCCACTGGTGGGTGAAATTTGCCAGTTTGCCACCTATGGGGAGGGTCGTTCGGGAGTAATTTGAACCTTCTGTAGGGATGATTTTCTCCCTGAAAGGGCCGCTTGCTCTGGGTTTGGGTCCGGACCTATCCGGTTGGCGGTCTTGCCTGGGAGTGAAAGGAGTTTAAGGCCGGGATGGCTGGGAGGGCTGAGAGAAGCTCGAGCCCATTCCTGCCCAAAAGAACTGCCTGAAGGCGTATGGGGTTGAATGCCTGTCAGCCCGCTTGCTGGAGTGGGCCAGGACCTTCCGCTTGTTCTTATTTTCGGTCAGTTAAGAGTTCAGCGCCTCTCCGAATAGTTGCCCACCTGATAGAGGGCCGAGGCTAGGCGCCACTTAGCCTTTGGGTCAGTTTGCCAATGTCTGAGCCATAGCATCCTGCGAGCCGAGACGTTGGATGCTATCGCTCTAGACGAGAACCTGGCCGCATGCAATGTGGCATCAGAGACGTACTCTGATGCTACAGCAAGCTTGCTCAGGTCCTGTTGTGTCCTTACCTCCTCCTGAGGAAGTCTGGCTTGGTGTTGCCGAATCCAGAGTAGGGACATTCTTGCAAAAAAGGATGCGCAGGTGGTGGCTCTTACCGCCCATGCCACTGCCTGGTGGGTCCTGCGGAATGTGAGTTCCCATCTCTTGTCGTCGGACTTTAATACCTCTGCCATATCTCCCGACACTGCTGACAGGGAAAAGAGGAAGCCAAAGGGCTCTTCTACCATTGGTACCTCGAGGTCCTCTGACTGTTCTGGTGTTGTACTGAACAACTTCTTGTCAGATCCCCCTCGGTGCGGGGAAAGTGCCCGGTGATGCCCATTGTTTCTTAATGGTACTCCGGAAGAGTGTCAAATAGGGAACGTGGTGTTGAGTACCACGGGCTTTAGGAACAATGGATCTGAACCAGGCAGTGGTTCTGGTTGCGGGATATGGTCTGGCCCAATGTTGGCCGTTGAACTGGCTCTGCAGAGCAGAGGCAGGAAAAAGGCAGGGTTGAATACCCCTCCGAATGAAAGAGGATCTGGAGGAGGGTCCTCCTCCTCCCACCATGACATGTTGAGTTGATCGTCCTCCATGGGGGAGGATTCCCTACTGTGGAAGGACCGTGACGGAGAGGAGGAGACCTGATACACGGCTTCCGCTGGTTGGGACTTGGGGGAGCATGGCCATCACGGATTCGGTTCTCGGTCCATGGTTAGTCCTAGCAGCCATCATCCTGTGGAACATCTGCTCAATTAGAGCTTGTAGACGATCCTCGGAGGGGTTGGTCTCAGATTCCGCCTCCCTAAGACCTGCTGCTATGGGTGTGAAAGTGGCCTCAGGGATGGAGTGTGCAATCCGTGGAGCCTGTGGTCCCATCTCAGAGCCCTGGGGGGACCCCTCTGGGAACCATACTCCTTGGGTGGAAGGTCCCAAGGGGAGGTCAAAGGATGTATCCTCTATTTGTTCCACTTTTGCCTTGGCCTGTTTTGTGCCTTGGAGAATTCCCTCTCCAGGGCCTGGTGCCTTCTGCTAGCCTGTTTCTCCGCCAACTTGGAAGGTTTTCTTCCAGAAATGGACTTGGCCTTTGCTTTGATCCTGCCTGCCGCCTCCTGTTTGGAGGATTTTTGTCTTTTGTGGCTGGTGGGAGGGGAGGTGATGCTCAGGAGTTGAGGCAACATGGACTCCTCCATCCTGGGTGAGCTATCTCAATGGCCCGAGAGGGAGCTCTGGCAGGGGATCAGTTGGCGAGATTGGCAAGCAGGTGTAGCAGGGAATGGTCCTCCCGCTCTCCTGACCGCCTGACCGGTAAAGGAACCGCTGCTGTCCCACCCCTTTGGGGTCCGGCCCTTTTTACGTCCACTCGGTTGCAGCGGACGGAAATGAAATAATAGGGAGGTGCGGTCAGGGTAGGTGCACCAGGGTTGGACAATGTCTATTTGATTTTTTTTTTTTTTGGTAATTTGTTTATTTATTTATTTATATTATTTACTTATTTCATTTGCTTATTTTATTTATTTATTTATTTGTCTATTTTTTGTGTTGTAATTGACCATCATGTGAGAAGAACTGGATGGAATGAATCATGGGGGGGAGGGAGAGCAGCGACGTAATGGGATTACTCACGCTGTCCCGACCGGCCTTGCAGTCCTCAGCCCTTTGGCTGGCTGAGTTGCCCCACTTGATCCGGTAGTTAAATTGGATCCGGCAGTTAAAAAGGGCACTAATGCTGGCCTGAGCAACCACGCAGTCCTCAGCCTTTTGTCTGTCTGAGCTTCCTCAAGTTAAAATGATGACCGACTGACTCCGTGTGAGACAAGGTGAAGGAGAAGAAAGCGGAAGTGTCCTCTGAGTCTGCCGGTGATTCAGCGCAAAGAGGGAGAGGCCTCCGCCCTCACAGTGGGAAATTTGAGGGGAAGAAGGTGGAACGGATGTGCCTCCTGATGCTCCCACATGTCCCGACTTCAAAATGGTGACCGGGGCATCGCCGACAAAGATCCAACCAATTAAGTGGTCTTGGAGGGAAATCGTAAGGAACGATTCCCAGGAGCAGCAGCCTCCGATCTATTACGGTGAGGCTCCTCGAGTTGGGGCGATAGAGGCTGAATCTCCCCGCCCCTGAAGCTCAGCTGGCCCTCTGTCGTTCCATAGCCACAGAAGGAAGGATGGAAGGGAAATTCCCACCCACCCCCGTTCAGAGAGGTTCCGTCTGCAGCACTGAGCAGCTGGATAGGAATTTCCTTTAGAGGAAACTAAATGGAAACAGGAGGGAGAATGAATGGGAAATCCCCAACCCCCAGGAGATTCTGCTAGCCTCCGACTGCAGCGCTGAGCAGCTGGAGAGGGATTTTCCTTAGATCAGTGGTTCTCAACCTGTGGGTCGGGACCCCATTTGGGGTCGAATGACCATTTCAGAGGGGTCGCCAAACCACGCAGTCCACCATTTTTTTCCTTTTCCCTAGCTGTCCTACTCCCTCTTATTGGTGGCCACACCCACTTGGGGGTCACCACAACATGGGGAACTGTATTATGGGGTCACGGCATTAGAAAGGTTGAGAACCACTGCCTTAGATTAAGCTGAGGGCTCAGCTATAACTACGGGTCTGGGAGGGAGAAGACCATCTCCCCAAGATTTCCACAGGTTATTTCACACAGCGCTAGTCCAGCACTGCAGAAATAACTGTGGAGTGAAATGAGTAGAATCCACCAATATTTTGGTCTCTATTACCTGCCTTAGACCGGGAGCCAATCTCTCATATCCGCCTGGGCTGAAGACCAAGTCAAGAATGGGGAGTGGCTACCCCAGGACGGGCGTGACAAGTTGGCTGACCTGGTCTAATGGGCAGAAAGGCAGACCCATTGGTGGATTCTACCTCTCCAGTGCTGGAGAATAACAGAGTAATTAAGGAACAAGCATTGCATATTCTATTCCAGATATTTCACTTCTAGACATTTTTGTATATTACAGAAACAGAACTATAGAAAAAGAGGTAAGCCATTATTTAAAATGTAATTTCATAAGCAAAGAATTTTAAAGAAAAGTTTTGAAATACTTACCACCACCATCAGTCCTCTTTAAAGCACCATCCTTGTGAGGGCACAACTCACATTTCTAAAGGAAAATAAACACAATTATGAACGACAAAAGAAAAACATAATGTATGAAATATCTTTAACTTGTAATTTAGTTTTTCCAGTTAGGCAAAAGATATTAGTAAGATAATTTTTCATGCATTAAAAACCTTCTTTTGCTTTAATCAGAGCTCCATATTTCCTTATGATTGTTACTAATTCCATATGAATTTACACTGATCCATGGGAGATGAGAAAAATTTCTGAAGTCTTTTAATTTTGTATGTACAGGTAGTCCCAAGTTACAAATATAATGGAGCCTGCCCATTTCACTCGTAACTTGAAAACTCGTGGGAGTGAATCTCTCCTCTCTGCCATGGTTTCTGCCTTTGAGTGAAAGGAGTTTCGATGGAAGCTCCTGGGTGCCCATAATATCATGCGAGTTCAGGCATCAATCCTCTTTTACAGAGAATGGGAGCCTGAACTCTTGCGGTGTTTGCTCCCGCCCCAACTCCTTTCCACCACTGCCGGAACAATTTTCACCAGGACAGAGACCTTGGGGAAACTGGAAGCTCCGTCTGCATGCAAATGCACACTTAGAAACGGAGCGAAACACCGTTTCTCAAGTGCCCCACTGGCAGCCATGAGAACTTCCAGTCTCCGTCAAATCTTCGTCCATGTAAAAAGTTTGAGCGCCTATGGGGCACTTGGAAACCAAGCATTTGCTTCATTTTCAAACACTCCATAGAACACTGAAACACTTTTTATCTCAACAGAGATCTGACAAAGACTGCAAGCTCCGTATACCTAGAATGGGGCACTTGAGAAACAGAGCAGACAGCTCCGTTTTTAAGAGCGCATTGGCAGCCTCGTGGAGCTTCCAGTCTCTTTCAGGTCTCTGTTCAGATAAAAAGTGGTTCAGCACCTATGGAGCACTTCAAAATACAGGGATTGGCTGTATTTTGAAGTGCTCCATAGGCAGTGAAATACTTTTTATCCGAACGGAGACCTGAAAGAGACTAGAAGCTTTACGTGGCTGCCAATGCGCACTTAGAAATGAAGATGGCTCCATTTTCCAAGCGCTCCATTCCAAGCATACGAAGCTTGGAGTCTCTGTGGGTTTCCATTTGGATAAAAAGTGTTTCAAGCCTATGGGGCATTTGAAAACTCAAGCCACTGGTGGCGGTAGCCACCTGAGCTGCCATGATCCTATCTCTCCAGCCACCCAGCCACACCCCCGACCTACTCATTGCCTGGCAGGCCAGTTGGCACAAATCTTAACCGCTCTTCTCCTTGTCATCCTCCCTACTCAAGCAGTGGCAGCAGCTTGAGTTTCTTGCCTCCATCCGAGTGGAAAATAGCAGACACGCAGCAGCGGGATTGCTCTCAATAAGGCCAGCGCAATCAAGCAAGCAGCACACATGGGTTTTTTGAGAGAAATCCTTCTGCTGCATCTCCACTTTCTTCATTTTGGACTGTGCTGAGAAACTCAAGCCGCTGCTGCCGCTTGAGTGGGGAGGACAACAAGGAGAAGAGCGGTCAGGATTTGTGCCAGCCGGCTGGTCAGGCCAGGAGTAGGTCAGGTGGGCGGGCTGGCTGGGGAGGGGGGATCATGGCTGCTTAGATGGGTGCTGCTGCTGCCAGCGGTGGCTTGGACACAGGTAGAAGGAGCCTGGTTCCGCAATGCTTCCCTGCTCAAGTGAAGGCTTTGTTTCTGCCCTCAAACTGAGGCCGGCGCGCGCAAGTGAGCAGCACACCTAGCAACAGATGGCATTAGTTCCTGTGCCCGGCCAACTCCGATTACATGCTTTGCCCCATAGACATACAAAGGAAGCAAAAAATTCCCTCCCCCAGAACGGAAGCTTCTGGGGGCTATGACGTCTTTTGCAGAGAATTTGTGTTTGAACCTGCGCAATATTACGGCACCCAAAAGCTTCCATTATCGGTGCGAAAACCATTTCCAAGCTGACTCTCCTCTCCCTCAAAGAGAAAGTAATCACGACAGAGAGGAGATAGATTTTGCAAGGTGAATGTATCCAGTGTGGCAGGAAGGGAGGAGGAAGCAGTTGTGGGGAGTGAGGGGGGAATAGGGTGAATGCTGCAGGTGCTGCAATATTCGTGATTTTGGAACTTGCTCATAAATACTAGGGGGCGCTTGTCATGTAACTTCAAATGAGCAAGTTAATGCTCGCAATTCGGGGATTACCTGTACACAATTCCAACATGAGATAGATTACTGCAGATGCTTTTGCATAAGAAAAACTTTAATGAAGACACTGGTGCAAAGCATTTTGAGATCTCTTAGATACTTAGATCTTTCATTTTCAATATTTTGAAAGATAATTTCAAAAATTAAATAAAACACAATATTTTTTATATTTTATAACAATGTTCCCCAAATCTATATCCCCCAAATCTTTCCAATCTTTTTTAGCCAATAAGATCAACGCACACTGGATGTGATGAAAGGTATAATTCATTACATCCGCAATGAGAAAGAACCCTCCACAGGGTAAATTGTAGATAATGATTACTGCAGGTGCACTTCAGCCACAGATATTTTTCTTTGCATTTGCTTACACCTAATATTTATTTTATTTTCATTTTTTCCACTTGGTCAGGCATATTTCAAAGAGAAAAAGGAAAGGTCAGACTTTATTACCATTGCCCAATAAAAGGGAATAAATACTGTGAGAGACTCAAAAGGAAGTGAAGGAAGAAAAGAGTTTAGGTTAAAAAAGATAGCACAGCCAAGATATAAGGGTCAGGCAAAGGAAACTATTGAAGGAGACTCCAGCTTAATTAACTTACTATAAGTCTGACTGTGAATTTACTCTTTTTGTCTGAAGCTAGCATTAAAGAGACCTTTTTGAAATGCACATGATTCTTGTTCTTTGGTGGAGCTATGTGGAGCTCAGGAATCACACTAGGTACAGGTGTCAAACTCACCATGTCACATGACGTGTCACGACGTATCACAATTTTTTTTGCATTGCAGGATGGCTGCGGCCTCTGTATGATGCAACCGGCCCACAGGCTGGCAGTTTGACACCCCTACACTAGGGCATCTATGACAAGACTTTGGAGCAGCTCTGCACAACATAGGATTTGTCAGCCAAATCACCTTGTGTGATCTGGAGTTTTCTGAAATTCATTAAATCCCCTGCTGCCAATGTTGCTACTGCAAGGACCCACCATTGCACCACCACCCAGAAAGACACACTACTGAGCGCCTCAATACCTCCAAGACTTATCAAGATTGTCAGCACTCTCCCTATCACTATGCTACTAGCTGCCAAACAATTGATTAGCATGCCAAGTATTCCTTTGTGACCTGTGATTATTTTAAATTTATCAATATGGCTTTTTCCTCTCTAGAAGTTTTGCATGTCTAGTCCAGCTAATACAATATTATAGGAAAAGGAAATAATGTAACTCAAAAAGTAAATGGAAAAAGAAAAATGTCAAGCAACAGAAAGCTGAGAGACTAACGTTATGGAAGAACAGTAAGGAACGCCTGATGATCCAAAATTTTAAAATGCTTAGATTAGGTTTGAAAAAGAAAGATTTTGGAAGATTAGATAAAAATGCTAAATACGACTTCCGGTTCCAGTTCGCAACATCCCTAGTCATACGAGGAGACTTCTCTTCTCGTTGGCTAGCCTTCCCTCCGCCGGTAGACCCTTATGCGGGTCGAAAGTCGCCCTGGAGGGTGCAACTTCTGTCGAGTAGACTTTGCTCGGCTGCGGAAGAGCAGCAGCTCCTCCAGCTGTCCGAGCTATCTCTGAGAGCCCACGGAGAAGAAGATCAGCCAGTATAAAATGGCCGATCACCCTGCTGCTTCAAACTGCAACTCAAAGAACATCTAAGCTGTAAGAACCCCCATGGTGAATCCAGGTGAGACTTTTCCTTGCTACTCTCTCTACTCTATCTTGTTTTTTGTGCCTGTAAGAGCCTTGTTGGAATTATTTCCCTGACTTGAAAAAGCAGCTTCTGCATGTTTGGGAAGAAAGGTGTTGTATAAAAATAGAACAAAATTTTAAAGACTATATTTTATTTCCATATTTTTGGGGGAGTACAGAAATTTTTTTTTCTTTCTAAGAACTGTATTATCATCTTATGCTGGAATATTTCTTTTCTCACATTATACTTTAAAAGACAGAAAAAAGGAAATGGTGTCTGGAAAAGATCTTTTTTTAACCTACTGAGGACATCTAGTGGCAAAAACTTAACACTGTAACTTTTGGTTACTCTTTGAAGATGGAATAGACCTGACCTTCAAATTATTTTTGAAGAGAAAAGATAAGCTGTGCAGTTGTGGCAATTGTGGGGGTGGACACTGCCTAACTTTTATTAGATATAGCCTCTACAAAAAGAAAAAAGAGACTCTTTTTAATTACTATCAAAATGGAGAAACCTCAGTTACAATTAAACTGTAAACTTATATTGGAAAAGATTTATGAGGCTACTGCAGAAATATGTGCTACGATGAAAGAGTTTACTACAGAATTAAGATCCAGAAATTTCACTTCAAACATTCAAACTGATGTCCAGACTACATCTGACTATTCTATAAATCAAAACATACTAGAAGAGGAATCAACAGAGATAAAAGAGGAACTTATTCTATCTTATAAACTTTCCATCTGTAACTTTGAAGAACAGAAGAAGCAAAGACTGAGATTTGAAACTACAAAGCAACGATGCCTAATGCAGAGGGGACTCCTATCCTTTCAAAGGTCACTGCAAGCAACAAAAATAGATCTGAAAGGGAAGCTTGGTTATAGAAACCTGCCTGGCACAGAAAAAAGCCAGAATCAGACTGAAAAGAGAAATTTAAAATTGTGTAATGGATTAAAAGGCAATGTTGGTTTTATGGATTGTTTTAAGGATTAAGATTTAGAGTCAGAAGTAAGAAAAAAAATATAGGAGGATGATTATTAGAATAGATATTTTAAATAGATTAAGAATGTACCTTCTGGAATAATAGGTTTATTTTGATGGAAATTATTATGCATTGGAATTGAAAAAATGTTGGCT